CATCCACACACCTGCTGCCGCAGCCCCATTCATAAACAGCCCAGTGCTTTCCTGAAAGGGCCTTAAAAAGCCTGCTTTCACATGATAGATGAACAGTCCGTGGGCTCCCTACACCTGCTGGCATTCGTGTTCTAAAGAGGCTTCCTCCCAGGGCCCAGGTGCAGGCCCGGGAACCAGCTGAGCCAGCCTGTCCTGGCAGCCCCGCTCACTCCTCCCACACCCACAGACCATCCTCCTACCCTCTGCCCCCTGCTTTTGTCACTGGGCCACCATTCTGTTTTCTTATTCCAAGCCAGGAACCTTTGATATATTTTTCCTCATTCCCTTCCGTACCCCCTGTTTTCTGCTGGTTCCTTCTCAGTCGTGCCCTCAGCCCCCCACCCCACCCCCTCGGCCCTCATCATCTCTCTACCAGGATTCAGGCCCGGCCCTGCCAAGAGCAACCAGGCTGTCTGCCTTAGCTGGTGCTATCATAACAGTAATACCCCAGCGAGTGGCTTTAAGAAACAGCAATGTCCTCGCTCTGAGTTTATGAGACCAGAAGTCCGAATTCCAACGGTTGGTTCTAAGGAAACACTTTCTCTCTGTGTCTTCGGGTTCTAGTTGGTTCCCAGGGCGGGGACCCGGCGTCCAAAGGATGTACTCCAGTCCTGGCTCTTCTTGTTCACAGTCATTCTCTCTGACCTTGAGATTGACTCAAGGTCCAACTGAATCCTGAACCTACTAGCCAAAGCCAAACTCCTTCCCACCAGGCAGTTCTGAGCCATGGCAAGTTCATAAGACAGGGTAGAACTGACCTTGCAGTTTTGCAAGACTGTAACTCTTTACGGGAATAGAAAGCCTTATCTTTCCCCTTGGGAGCGGCTGGTGGTTTTGAACTGCTAACTTTATGCATAACTCACAACGCCACCAATACTCCCTGTGCACGTGAAAGCCCGCCTTGTTAACATTAGCTGCCAGCCCTCCTACCTCGTGCACATCAGAGAGGTGAGGATTTACAACCCCCAAGATAATCACATTAGATCACAAAATGCGAGATAATGGCGTCATACTGAGAATCCTGCCCTAGCCAAGTTAACACAAGGGGGTGGGGGTGGGGGACACAATTCAATACCTAACAGTCCCTAACCAGATGTAAGCCCCCTCCTGCCCACCATCCTGAATAACACTGCCATCTTGCAGACCTCTCTCGGACTTCCCTTCTGTATGAAGCCCACATTCCTGGCACTTGAGAAATTAGTTGACTATACAAATAAGTGAGTCTAATGTCCCCTAAAAAAGACCTGACTTGCTTTTATTCCTAAACCCTGTATGTCTAATGAGCACTACTTAATGTGCGGGGCCGGGGGGGAGGCATTTTTAAGTAGGTTTAGGTGCCCTTGTCTTCTTTTTCAGGTGTTAAGTGGACATGTTTTAAAATTATCACAAGCAGCACAGCTCCTAAGCCTTGACCGCAGGTCTGCACAGGCCGACAGTCCGTTCGAGCCCTGCGAGCGACATCAGCTGACTTCTTGTCTGTTGTCCTGATGCCTTACTCAGTCCTTCGTAAACTTCATTTCTGAAACATGTGTTGTTTCCCTGCCCCAAACTCAAAAAAACAAACCACTGCCATCAAGTCTGTTCCGGCCCCCAGAGACCCTACAGGATAGGGGAGAGCAGCCCTGTGGATTTCCACGACTGTAACTCTTTACAGGAACAGAAATCTCTGTCTTTCTCCCTCGGAGCAGCTGGTGGGTTCAAACTGCTGACCTTGTAGTTAGCAGCCTAACATGTAACCACTACGCCACCAGGGCTCCTTTGTGGGTGATGATAGAAGAAGCAAAAACCATCATCTAATCCAGTGATTCTCAACCTTCCAAATGCCGCGACCCTTTCATACAGTTCCTCATGTTGTGGTGGACCCCACCCCCCAACCATAACATTATTTTCGTGGCTACTTCAGCACTATAATTTGGCTACTGTGATAAATCGGGCGACCCCTGAGAAAGGGTCGTTCGACCCCCAGGTTGAGAACCGCTGCTCTAATCCCTAACTATGGAGGTTTGAGCTTCATACTGAGTTGGTTATGCACTAAGTTGGACACACACACCCCACCCCAGAATATGCGTTAGTTTCCTAACCCTTATACATGTGGGTCTAATTCCGTTTGGAACTAGGGGTTTTGGTTTTTGCTGCTCTGGATGCTACCAGGTCAATGAGGCAGGATCCCTGTAGAATGCGTCTTCAACATGATTCCCTTTTGAGGTATAAAAAGAGGAGGTGAGGCACCGAGACAAGCTAGCCCTGGCCAGGGGGCCAGAAGCACAGATGTGTTAGACTTGCCCAGGCAAGGGCTCTGGAAGCTGCGATGAGGGTCTTCTCCAGGGATGACCCAAGAGAACTCTCGCCTGCCCCCAGAGCCTCTGCCCTGTGTTCTGACTTCCAGCCTCTTGAACTGTGAGGAAATAAGGTTCTGTTCCTTAAAGCTACGCACAGGTGATAACACAAAAGAGGAAGGCCGTCAACAAGATGCACGGGCACAGTGGTGCCACAAGGGGCTCAGGCATGGGAGCAATGTGAGATGGCGCAGGACCAAGCAGCGCTTGACTCGATGGCACCAAAAGACAACAGTTGGTGGCGTTTATGTTATGGTGGCAGGAGGGAGCCACGAGATTGATACAAAAGGCATCTTGGGAAGGTGACTGTGGAGGCAGTCGATCACTATCCAAATGTCCGTGAAAACAGTTACGAACTAAAGCCAAACTCACTGCCCCGGCGTCGAGTCTGACGCATAGTGACCCTATGGGACAAGCTGGAACTGCCTCTGTAGGTTTCTGAGACAGTGACTCTTTATGGGAGCAGAAAGGTCCGTCTTTCTCCCTTATAGTGGCTGGTGGTTTCAAACTGCTGACGTTTTGGTTATCAACCCAACACATAAGCACTTAGGCATCATTTCTCTGTGTTATGGGAGAAAGGAACTATTCCGTTAGCAAGTGCTCAGGAAAAAGGCCCTGCCTTTTAGTGACCTGACTGGGGGTGTGTATGTTTGGAGGAAATGCAAATAGGTCTCTGCAGGAATCGGTTCACCTCCATGGAGGATGGGGGAGGAGGGGCAGAGTGGCTGTGGTCCTGGGTCATGGTCATAGACAGTGCCGTGCCAGGTGACACTCTCCGCTCATTCCTTCCAGCTGATTGGCCTGCTCCTGGTTTGCTGGGGGGGGGGGGGGGGTTCTTCGGGAGATTAAATAGGCCTCGAACTCCTGTCTGGAAAGCCCTGGAAATGAATTCATTGATACTCCCTAAGAGGACACTTCCACAGACGTCCTCAACAGTGCAGGCCTTTCCTGACTTGACCTCCTCTCCCCTTCACTGCACCCCAGACCAGGCGAGCTATTTGCGCTGCTGCTGCTGCTGCAGTCAAGTCGGCCCTGCCCTCATGAAGACCCCCGTGCTACAGAACCAAGCGCTGCCAGGCCCTGTGGCATCCCCTGATGGCCTGTGAGCCATACGGGTCCATTGGTTGCTTTTCAGAAGTAGCGCGCCAGGCCTTTCCTCCTGTTCTGCCTTTTTCTGAAAACTACACAAAACCTGTTCAACATCCTAGTGACCAACACCCAGGCTTGACTTCCATGGACAGAGCTTAGTGGTTGCACACGCAGTGAACCACCCAGGAAGGGAACCCAGTCCTCCCACACGGGAGACAAGTATTCTACCGCTGAGCTGCTAGTGCCACACGCCAGGGTCACTGCTTAAAGGCATGGTCATACAGTACTGGACCAAGTCATGATCGTCGACAGTGTGTCATCCATTCCAGGGGCAGGTGGAGAGCTCACCAGCATACCTGTCCCCGCTACTGGTCCCATTGCTTTGCATTGTCTCTGGTTGCCTAGCACCCGCCCTCCGCCAGCTTTGCCTGGCACAGGCCTCCCTGCTGACCTTTCTTTTCTTTTCTTTTCTTTTTTCAAGGACCATTTGTTGGCCTTTAGGAGTGTTTTCCAGTCCAGTCTGTTGGGGCACCACACCCTGGCCCCAAAGTCCACCTTCAGCTTTCCCTGGGGACCTCGCCACTCCTTTCCCTTGCTGTTCTGTTGCACCCCCTTAGTGTTTTGCCTCGGTGTGGCGGGATCAGATCGGGTGCAATTCCCACACTGTGTCTCCAGTGTTGTCCCCTGTAGGGCTATGGGTCAGTGAGGGGTGTCATGTCTCATAGTGGGGCCAGCCATGTGGTCCTCTCTGTGGACTGGCTGCTCTAATTGGGGTCATCGTCCTCAAGGTCTGGTGGGCCAGGATGTGCTCCACTCTCTCCTCCTCCCCCTTCATCTGCTCCCGTGTGCTCCGATCAGAAATGTCCCTCTCCCGGAGCTGCAGATTCAATGTCGCCTTTTGAAGTAAATTCTTCTGGGGGGAGGGGCAGGTATCCACTTAGTATTTGGGACTGGGGCCAGCCCACCAGACCCTGCTGACCTTTCAAAGCTCCTGGGCCACAGTGCAGGCTCTTGCTGGGCCGCTGCAGTGTTTCTGGGAGAAGAATAAAACCAAATCGGTTGCTGTCCAGTTGCTTCCGACTTATGGTGGACCCATGTGTGTCAGAGTAGAACTATGCCCCATGGGGCTTTCAAGGCCAAGATCAAACAGCTTGATTGGCGGGAACTGTAGGTAGCTTTGAACCACCAACCTTTGGGCTGGTCGTTGAGTGTGGAAACAACTGTCTGCGCCACCCAGGGACTTGGCTAGAAAAGAACTGAGGCACCCCAAGCTCACTACCACCGAGTCCAGTCTGACTCACGGCTGTCCTTTAGGGGGAACTGCCTGTGAGTTTCTGAGGCCATCGCTCTCGATGGAAGCAGCTTCGAACTGCTGACCTTGCGGTTAGCACACTAACTGCTGTGCCCCAGGGATCCTCTGGGAGAAGAAGAAAGTGGTCCTGATGAGGACGCTGAACATGTGAAAGCCACGGGCCCCAGAACTGAGCATGTGGTCCCCGGATGCGGTCTTCAGTTCTCATGTCCTTCCCTTTGTAGGAGTCGGAAGCTTTATTCCTCAAGGCAATTCAAGCGAACCCAAAGGCTGCAAGTTACCATGGTAATTTGGGTAAGGACCTTTTTGTACCCCATTTGACTCATGCTGAAATTCTATGTGATTTTAATGACACTTGTGCATTTCTGTAAAATCAGTGTTTTGGAGAATGTTCTATCAAACTCAACCCTGTATTGTCCTCTATACGCTGGTTTAGAAAAATACATTTTTTTAAAAAGTATCCCAATATTAAAGTAGCAAAGTAGTAGTCCTTGTAAATATTATTGCCTGACTAGAACAATCCCAAAATTTCCATTCTCTGTGTGAGAGATCCTAAAATGGTAACCTGAAAAGTGCTCTGGAATTTTGCAGGCTCAATTAGGTGCACACACACACACACACACACACACACACACACACCTTCCATGATGAACCTTCCCATTCTAGCCTGGTCTTCTCGGCTCTTAAGCTTCAGTTATTGATACATTTACAATGGCTTATTCCTTTCTTGTGTTTTTACATTTTAATATTGAAGGTATTGTTGTTATTGTTGCTGTTGTTATTGTTGTTCTAGAGTATAAAATACCAAAATCAATTGCCCTTGATTTGATTCAGACTCATAGCAACCTTATAGGACATGGGAGAAGTGCCGTGTTCTACCTTCACTTTTCCGAGACTAACTCTCTTTATGGGAGTAAAAAGTCTCATCTTTGTCCCATGGAGCAGCTGGTGGTTTTGAACTGCTGCCCTTGCAGTTAGTGGCCCGATGCATAATCACTAACTCACCAGGGCTCTTTTTCATAGTACAGCATACTGGTCTCCTCATTCGTGTGTGTGTGTGTGTGTGTGTGTGTGTGTGTGTGTGTGTGTGTGTGCCAAATCTAATCCAGTTTTGCCCTTGTAGAAAGTTAGTTTCACCCACAAAACCATCAGAGCAATCTGATAATAAGCCTAGCAGTCTAATCACCAAGCTTATGTCAGCCATTGTTTTATGCCCGGGTCATGATGTTAGGGCCCTCGTGTCCAGCTGGCACCAAACAAGTTGTTGTTTCTCCAACGGGTGGAGAGAAATCTGGAAGACAACCCTCCTGGACTTTCAGATGGCCAGGCTTCTGAGCGGTACCCAGCGGCCTGCCATATCTGGTTGAGCCTCCTGGAAATCTCCGGGCAGCCTGGAGCCGTTGAACGTACAGTTCTTTGTGCTTCTTTCTGTAATAATTTTGCTGCAGGCAGATGTATCATATCTAGTGATATGAAGAACCCCGGGAGGAACTGGCCAGAAAAGCCAAGCACCAGGGGGTGTGATGACAATAAATAACGTTTATGGAACAAACAATATTTTCTCAAACGATGATTTTTGAAAACTGTTTGCACAGGTTCTTTGCACACGTGACAGGGAGCACGGCAAGTTATTCAGAAGCATTTCCAATGAAATCCATCCCTTGCTTTTTCAGCTGTGCTTTATCACCGTTGGGGACATCTAGACTCAGCCAAGAAACACTATGAAATCTCTCTGCAGCTTGACCCCGCCGCCCCAGGGACGAAGGAGAATTATGGTCTTCTGAGAAGAAAGCTCCAACAGTTGCAAAAGAAAGGCGTCTGATCCTTGGCCTTTCTTCTCTCTCGCTTTCTCTGTTCATGTGTGCGTGTGTGTGCATGAGGCATACCATTCACACTATCAGGTTACACTTAACCATTGAAAAGCCTAGACATGGTTATTTTATTGCGTTAGGGTTTTTTTCTGATGTGGGGACAAAAAAAAACATGCGAAGAGATTATAGCACCAGCGACATACTCTTGAATGCGTGATGTGGTTTTTGCATATTGAAAATGTATTTTTTTCTGACAATTAACTGTAAAATCTACAACTCCAAGGATGAAGCCTTTTTGTAATTAAAAAGATAAGGAGAAACAACTGATCCCGAGTGGCTTTCGGTACAGGCCGCCTCCATGAGAGGTGTGAGCATCAGTGTGCATTACACGCCTCTTGTCACCAAGACAAGTGACTGCCCGTTTGTATAAATGTCAGATATGTTTGTATATTCGACTTTTTATTTAATGACCAGAGCGAATAAATCAAGACTTTGTTTTCATTCTTTTATATATATATCTGTGAATTTCATTGGTAAGGAAGTATTTATTTGTATTTTTAATGTTTTGAACAAAGCAACTAATTGAATGAAGAATGAAAAGTTTTAACATCTAGGGTATCTATTGTAGCTTTTCTTTGGGAAGAAATTGGCCCCTGTGGTAGTTTTTGGATTCTCCACTTGTGGTCTCAGCATGTAGGAAATGACGTGGTGTCTCCCTACACTGTCACTTTCAGTAGGAATGTCGAGGGCCGCTGAGACGACAGCAGACATCGCCTGAGGTGTGAGTGTCTGGTACACGGCAAGCGGTCAGAGGGCGACGCCTCGCTGTGAATCGCTTGTCTCGTGTTTCTAACTGGAAACCAGTTTTCCATTTTGCCTGATGAAACTGCAGAAATCGCTTGATCCACACACACTGCAAACGTGAAATTCCTCTCAAAAGGCACTCCCTTGGGGGAATTTGTGTGTTTTGTTTGTTTGTTTTTGTTTTTAAGAATTGGATTCTTTTCTTGTTGTATTTGGACCTCGGTAATCATGTTTATTTGTGAAGATTTATGCAATCTCTGTAATTTCTTATGCAGTAAAACTATTACACAGAAACTTCCGTGCAAATATCAGACTGCCTTCTTCATAGATGATTGTCAAATTAGCAAGCTTTGTGTCCTAGTTCCTCTTGGAATGAAGTCGGTGACTCCTTTGTTCTATCTGTCCCTTCCCTTTGGCTTTAGGTGCATTAGAAGGTCCCCTTAGAGCTGTCCTACTTCAGAGAAAGGGGTAAAGACCTATGTAAAGATGAATTTATGGTTTCTACACTCACCTGGGCCCAGGTTGGGGGGAGCAGGGGAGGGGGAAGACCTGTAAAGTGTTTTAAATCCATAACTCAAATTTATGATGGGTAAGTTATGTACAGAAAAGAAACTGCTGTGTTCCAAACTTTTCTTAAAGGATCCCAGGAGAACAGTGGCAGTTTACATATCTCGTACAGGCAGACGCTGTCTGATTCTTCTTTGTGCTCCGATAGAGTTCCGCTTGGCAGATCATAGATGCACTGTGTACTTTGTTGACTTTCTTTATTTCTCTTTTTTTTAACTGTACGGGTCTTCTGGGAGTGAAAAAGAAATGGAGCTTCTTATAAAAGTCCCTTCAGGATTCCTTGGGTCTTTTTGGCCCTACAGATACTAAAACTTTACTGTCAAATCAAGACATACAAATCTGGGATCCCTGCCTACAGAACAGATTCCTTTAGCTGTCACTGCTTTCTCTCGGGACTTCCAGGGCCGCTGTTTTCCTTCCAGAGGAAACAGTCATTAATTTGATGGATATTTCAGAAAGTCTCTTTATGTTGGCAAATTTTGGAAGTGTACCATCTCGGTTCTTTTCTTCCTTTTTTTAATTTAAATTTTTTTAAATTTTAAGGCAGCAACCCTCTTTATTTCTTGTGTTTGCTTCGCAAGACTAAAGTGGAAAGCAGTCTTGATAGATACAGCAAATTATATATATAATTTCCCCTCCTAACTTTAAGAATGTTTTTTGCTCATCAGAATTTGGGTGTGGAAAACCAAAGCAAGGGTGTGTATATTTGATGGCTGGGACTGCCGTAACAAACTACCACAAACCATGTGTCTTCCCACAAAAGAAATGTATTCTCAGGGTTCTGAAAGCTCAAAGGCTGGGCTGGGGCTCCAGGGGGTGACCCTGCCTTCACGCTTCCAGCGTTGGCATCCCCAGGCATTCCTGGGCTTCCAGGGTCATCCCTCCCATTTCTGTTCTGTTTTCCCACAGTCCTGCGTTTCCTTGGATCCCTGGTGGCATAACGGTTATCTGTTGGGCTGCTAACAGAAAGGTCAGCAGTACGAAACCACCCGCTGCTTCCTGGGAGAGAGATGAGGCTTTCTCCTCCTGTGGCGAGTTGCAATCTCAGAAACCCAGAGGAGCAGCCCTGCCCCGTCCTCTAGGGTTTACTCTAAGTTGGCATTGGACTCGGCAGTGGGTTTCGTGTTTGTTTTGCATCTCTGGGTGTCTTCTCTTTCTGGTAAGGACACCAAGCGGGTTGGACATAGCACCCGCCCTCCAGTGGTTAGGACCTGAGCATACCATGCTGGGGGATAGAATTCAACCCAGCCCCACGCATGAGCTAGACGTCTGTCATCCCTGCCCTTCTGGACGGTGAGCAACACGAAACCCTGAGACGGGCTGGGGCTGGCTGGCTGTTGTCTCCACATGTGTGACTGCTGCCGAACCATTGCTTCCCTGGCCCTCACTCATCCCATGTTCGCTTTGCTTTTGTATTTTAGTGCAGGCTTCCCCCCTCCCCCCACCCCACCCCCAGATTTCATCATGTCAGACCTAGGCTACCATACTTGGACAGGGCTTTTTGGGATCCCGAGTCTATCGTTTCTGGTTCATTTTAGATGTCTAACAGAATAGAAGAAAGCGCCGCACCCACGAGTGCTGTAGGTCCATGTTCACATCCATTCAGCTTGGACTCTGGAGTTGACAAAACTCAAGCGTTAGCAGCTCTCTCGCCTGAATCTCTGACCCCATGAGCAAGTTATTTTGTATTCCTCAGACCCCAATTTGTCATATGTAAAATGGGACTAGTAAGACTGCTCATCTGGCGATGGGATAGGTAAAACTCCTGAACCAGTAAACCCTCACTAAATGGCCATTTTCTATTGGGAAAAGGATCTATGTTCTGGAGCAGATAGATCTGGTCTTAAATTCATTTCCTTATTCCTTCAATAAACACCAAGTGCCGACTGTGTCCCATGTTTGAGCCCATTTTGGCAGCCACTGTGTCACCCCAGCTTGTTGAGGGCCGGCCTCTTTTTCACTGCCCCTCTACTTCCCTCAACATGATGTCCTTTTCCAGCTCTGGTCTCTCCCGATAACATGTGCAAAGCCGATGACACAGAGTCTCACCATCCCTGCCTCTAGGAGCATTCTGGCTGCATTTCTTTCAAGACAGGTTTGTTTTTTCTTTTCAATATTCTTATAATTCAAATGAAGACATCAGTCTTCCTTAATCAGTGTCAAACGTTCACATAAATAAGGCAATTGAATATGCCATGGCTTGGGCCAGGCGGACCTTAGTTCTCAGAGTGCCGTCCTTGGTTTTCAGCACTTTAAAGAGGTCTCACGCAGCAGATTTCCTCAAAGCAGTTTGTCTTTTGGTGTCTTCACTGCGGCTTCCTTGAGCATTGACTGTAGAGCCACTCCAGGCAAAATCTTTGATACCTTCAATCTTTTCTCCATTTATCGTGATGGTACCTGCTGGTCTGGTTATGAAGCTTTGGGTTTTCTTTGCATTGAAGGCTGCAATGCTTGATCCTCATCAACAACTGCCTTAAGTCCTCCTCCCTTTCAGCAAGCAAGGGGGGATCATCTGCATATTGTAGACTATCAATGAGCCCTCCTCCGATCTTGATGTCGGGCTCTTCTGCATCTAGTCCAGCTCCTCTGATGGCCTATAGATGGAAAAAGCATGGAGGAGGAGACAACCCTGTCGCACACCTTTCCTGATTTTAGACCATGTAGCATTCCTGTGTTCTGCTCATGCAACTGCCTCTTGATTCGTGTACAGGTTCTGCAGGAGCACAATGAATTGTTCTGGAATTCCCATTCTTCTCAAGGCTATCCATTGTTTCTGATGGTCCATAGAATCGAACACTTTTGCATAGTCCATAAAACACAAGTAAACATCTTTCGGGTATTCTCTGCTTTGAGCCAATATCCATCTGACATCAGCAATGATATCCTTTGTTCCCCATCCTCTTCTGAATCAGACCCGAACCTCTGACAGCTCCCTGCAGGGTACTGCTGCAGCCATTGTTGGATGATGGTCAGCAAGCTTTTACTTGCATATGACATCAATGAAATTGTTCTATAATGTGTGCACTCCTTTGGATGTAATTTTGGGTTCAGACAGAAGCACAAGTGTTAGGATGGTGCAGGCCCAAGCAATACTTTGTCCTGTTGAACATAGGGTCACTCTGATTTAGAACTGACCTGATGGCACCTAACAATAATTATGTTCCAGACCCACATCCTGTCTGCCAGTTTGTCTTCTGTGGTGCTTCCCCTAGTGCTGTGATTATAGCGGGCATGCAACTAGTATTTCAAATGCTAGAAAAGTCATCAATGGCGGATTAGTTTCCAAACTAAGAGTCAAAAGAAAAGACTGGTAACCTATTACCCCAAATTTGCCAATGAAAACCCTATGAATATAGTGCAATACAGTGTCACCAGAAGGGGCTCTGTGGGAGAAAGATGAGACTTCCTACTCCCATCTGCTCCCAAGAGGTAGCTGGGTAGTTTTGAACCACCAACCTTTGAGTTAGCCACACACTTACATCTTGAGCCACCAGGGCCCCTTGGAGAAGGGATTGGAGAGAGGCAAAGGGGCACCAGTAGGCCAGTAGGAGAGCTGCTCTAAGGGCTGCTGGAGGACAGGGAGGATGGCGACTGGGTGTATCCAGTGGCCATGGAGGGGGGACTGTGGACTGGCCATCAACTTAATGATGGAGAGGAGATGGGTTGGTGAGGGAAGGAAAGGTATTAGAGATTTCCATACAGTTAAACACAGCTGGAAGCCATTGAGAGCGAGAAGACAAAAAGAAACCAGAACAAGCATGAGGTTCTTGAGAAGACAGGGGAAAAATAGGATCCAAACCAGGTGGAATTGGACCCTAGGAGAGAGGCTATAAAGCTTCAGAGTGTGACGCAGTCCAGATGCGTTTGGCCAATTGGGCAAACCTCAGTCGCAGCATTCATTAGCTTCATTGTAAAAATATCACCCTTTCTCAGCTTCCATTTCTTCATCTAAAAAAAAAAGGCAGGTAATAATAATACTTAACTTTAAAAGGTGTGAAGATTAAACTCTATAGCCCCACTGTCCAGCATGATGACCACTGGCCACAGGTGCCTATGAAGCATTAGCCCGAATGGAGGTGTGCTGTAAGGGTGACATACCCACCAGTTTTTGAAAGACTTGGTACAAAAAATAATGTACGGGATCTCACTCATAATTCCTATATTGATTTACATCTTGAAAAGATAATTTTTATATACTGGGTTAAATAATATATTATTAAAATTCATTTTACCTTTTTTTTTTTCCTTGTTTATGTTGCTACTAAAATGGGGTTACCTACAAGGCTTGCTTCTGCTCGCTTTGGATTTCCATTGGCCAGCCTTCAACTGGAGCCAGGATGATGTAGTGGGTTACGGGTTGGGTCATAACTTCAAGGTTAGCAGTTCTAAACCACCAGCTGCTATGCAGGAGAACAATGAGGCTTTCTACTCCCACACAGATTTACACTCTCAGTTCTGCTCTGCCCTATGAGATCCTGAGTCCGAATTGACTCGATGGCAGTGAGTTGGATTTTTTGTTTTTGCTTTTGTTTTGGTGCCCTTGACTAGAGTATATGGCAACTACTCGGTCATCTACTTCATTAAAGAAAACTCTTGCACCTAATTGTGGCCATCTAACTAATTGAAAAGGTCTTTGTTGGTTGCCCACAAGATCCATATTTCTTCACTCTCCCCCGCAGGCTTTCACACGTGGATCAGTCCTGTGCCCTTCTGAAACAGGCCACCGG